AATGTGAGATGATGAAAAGGTGAAAATAAAGTGTTTGTAGATGGGGAGGGGAGGAGGGGGTGAAGGGAGGGCAGGGGTAAGGGGAAAAAATGAGAATCAAGACTTGTCATGTAGAGGTACAAGATCCCAACAATGAATTTCACTGTGCTGTATCCCTAAAATGTACCAATAAACTCAATTAAAGCTGAAAAAAAATACAGTGAATGCCGCCACTGCTACTCAATAGAAAAGCAGGCTCGTAAAAACGCGACTCTGCGTCCTCATCCACCTCGCTCACTGCATCTGTCACCGTGCAACGCGGGCTCCACTCCACGGTCAAAATGATCAGGAAAGGGAAACATTTGAATCAATTCAGGACACTGTGGCAGCCACCTCAGTGGAACTAAAGACGCGCACAAAAGAGCACTCCAGAGCTGCTGCAGAAAGAGGCAGGAACAATGGGACAAATGTGTTTCAAGTGAGAGGGAGGGTTCTGAGGGGCTTCACGGCCATGTGTCTCTTACTGTGATAAATTTTTAAACTTTAAACATTTACCATACTTTTCAGTCACTTCATAAGGTATCTTGGGAGCTCTCTCTTGATGTCCTTAGAGTTCTGCCAATTAGCCTTACAGGACCGGGGTTTTTCCAAACACGTTGGTACTTGGGTCCCTTCCCAATCTCACCTTCGGAGAGCCAGTAAATAACCAAAACTACAAGCTCCTCCTTCTCAGCATGGGGAGAGGAGAAATGAGCAGAGCGTTGTTTGACTTAAAGTGGGTTTGCTTGACTAGCTAAGAAATGATGGCTAGGCAGCTACAAAGATGTAACACTGGGGCCCCCTTGACTAGACTTCAAGGAATTAAAGCCTTTTCCATTATTTATTTTGTCCAGGTTATTCCTGTATATTTGTCTAATCTTTATCCAATGAGATTATCTACCAACAGGTTCTGTGAATTAGCATTTGGCTTAAGATCTGAGCTTCTGCTCAGCAAATATTTGACAACCTCCTATGCCATAGGCATTTTGTCTGGGTCACTGGGCGACACAAAAGTGAACAAGAAAGCCTGTCCTTGCCTTTGAGGAATCCACAGTCTGGCAGGGAGACAAACATAGTTGAGAAATAATTAATTACAGTTCTCACAAATGCTTCAGGGAAAAGCACAGCGTGTTGAGAGAGGGGTTAACAGGAGCAAGGCATACAAGCCTGGGTACAGGGAGAGCATTCTCAAGGACACAGCTTTCACAAGGAAGGATGTGTGGGACACAGGAGGAGGCAGGAAGTTGTTCAAGAGTGGAAACCACACATGCAAGAGGCCTGTGGTCAGAAGGAAGTTGGCACAGGAGAGGAACTCAAAGCCTGAGGGTGGAACATAATGTACAAGAAAGTGAGATAACACTTGCAAGAAAAGGCACTAGAAGACAGAGGTTTCTAGGGATCACACTTAGTGTGGCTTTCATTCAAGTGCAGCAGTAACCTTCAAGGCTCAACCAGGAATGAAGATGTTAATATCCTTTCCAAAGCAGCACAGCTGGGCATGGAGGTACACACCTGGAATCCTAGAACTCTAGGAGGCTGAGGCAGGAGGGTCACAAGTTTGAACCCAGCCTGGGCAACTCTGTACTTAGCAAGACCTTGCCTCAAAATAAAAAAGGGGCTGGGGTGTAGCCCCATGCAAAGGCCCTGGCATCGATCCTTGGATCCACAAAGAAAGCAATACAATAACAACATACCATTGCTGCAAAGAAAATTCAAAACTCTCATTTTCATAGATTAAAAGTCGTAAGGCAGAGTATTTCAAACTGTGTTCCTTGAGAATACTTCTCTTTAAACACGCTCCATGTGTTAATAAAGTTTCAGAAATATTCCACCAGGAATTGGGCGCATAATGGTTTACAGAGTTGTAAAAGTAAGTGCTGAGACCCAGATTTGGACATTGTTTCAGTGGCTAGGGCAGTAACAGTAACAGCCAAGAGAAACAGCGGCCGCAGGGGGACTGATCAGGTAAGCGATTGAAGGCGGGAAGACAGAGTCCAAGCATAACCAGCAGACTGCAGGCAAGAAGAATGTGTGGTGGTTGCTGTGGAATAATGGCAGCTGCTAATTATAGAAGTAGCCGTTCATTGCATGCCAAGCCGTGTTCTAAGAAGCCTCTTACACAGTAGCTCACTGAATTCTCGTAAAAACTAAGACACACAGGGGCTGATCAAAGAACGTCGTTATGTTTAAATTTTAAATTACAGTAAAAGACGCATTGCCCTGGATCCCTCTCACAATCCTCCACACCAGTTGCAACACACTTATCCCACTGTCCTTGCCACTTTCTGAAACAGCTCTGGAGTCCTCTTTCGTAAGTGTCTTTACCAATTAATGCTGCCTCTGCTGCCACCACCCCCAGGAAGGCAGCTCAGAGAGACATGACACTGTGTCCTCACCCAGTTTATCCACTGGCTCTGGTACCACGGGTCGCGGCTAGGCCCCAAAGTCAAAATGGCCATGAAAGGGAAACGCGTGAATGAACTCACAACGTCAAAGCAGCCAGGACAGAGCAACTAAAGGCATGAAAGAGGACCTCCAGAAGTTCTTCAGAAAGTGGCATGAAAGATGGGTCGAGTGTGTTCAAAGGGAGGGGAAGCAATGTGTCTCTTACGGTGATAAATGTTTAAAAGGTTGGACATTCACTGTAGTGTATGATCTCACCTCATAAGAAGTATTACTTTTGATGTTTTATTGGTAAGGGAACTGAGACTCTGAGAACTTAATAGATTTATTCTTCATATAGTGGACTAATATCTAGAATATGTAAAGAACTCAAAAATATTAGATCGCCCCAAAATAAAAGACCCAGTCAAAACATGTGCACATGAACAGGCGCCGCACAGAGAGAAGCCGGCATCAAGGTCACCAGCAGAGGGTGAGACTGGAAAAGGAGGTGCGGCAGCTTTGTTGGCCATTTAAGGGATAATAGAAAAATAAACCAGTAGGGAATGACGGCTGGACTGCCAGTCAGCGTGACAGATTCACTGGAGATCAGTCAGAAAAATCTGCACAGTTGGGTGCTGTTCTTCACCCTCTGTCCTACTCTGTTCATGCTGCTAACCATAAACTGTACAGCTTACAAATGAGTGATCATTTCCCACAGTTTGGGAGGCTGGAAAGCCCAAGACCAAGGTGGCAGCTGATTGGATGACCCTCTTTTTGTCTCCTCACGTGGTGGAATAAGAAAGGTTTCACTAGGGCTTTCTCAATAAAAGCACTAAGGCCATTTGTGAGGGCTCCACTTCCTTGACCTAACCACCTCCCAAAGGACCCACCTCCTGATAGCACTCCCTTGGAGTTAGGGTTTCAACTTATGGATTTTGAGGGACACACACAGTCGGATGACAGCAGCCTCATTACACCATGTGGGTTCAGACACAGCACAGACAGAGCTGGAGTTAACACTGGTAAAGTAAAAAAACAAAGGAATTAGGGAGAAAGAGACCAAGAGAAGCTGAGAGTGTACTCAAGCAAGTGGTTGTAAGAAGGAATTCTGGAAAATCATCTATATATGGGTAGAAGTGAGGACACGAATAAGGAAAGAATCGGTTTTTAAAAAGGCAATACTTTTGGTCCTACTTTTGGTGAGGGCCAAACAGTATTGATAAAGCTAGTAAGTATGAGATTATCCTCCCACAAAATATAAACTCCTTAAAGACTTGAGGAATAGTTCCTATCTCAGGGTGAATGGCAGAGGTGCCATGTTCAACTCCAGGGAAAGTGTGGAAATGCCAGGAGACATGTTTTTGTCGCGGCCACTGGTGGAGGAAGGAGTCCTCCCACTCAAGGTGCTGATGCGCAGCCTGCTTACAGCGCGGGACAACACCCACACGAACTCCGACCTGGATGGCGTCCATCTCATCCTAGACTCCCAGGCTTCTGTTGGGATGCTTCCTGTGGATGTGGGCCTGTCTGTGGACTGGACAATGGGCTACCTAATCAAACTCCTGTATCAGTCAGACTCCTGGAATCATAAAAAAAAAATAAAATAAAATAAAAACAGAGAGCCAGGGTAGGGGGTGCTGTGGGATCAATTCCTACAATCAGGGAGGCTAAGAAGGCCCATTGCCTGCTGTCTGCAAGTTGAGGCCCGGGAAAGCCACTCTGTAAGCCAATGAGACCAAAAGCCTAAGAGCCAGAGCATGGGGCGCGTACGTCCTGAACCTAGGTCTGGTGAGGACAAGACAGCCGGGCCCAAACCGGCTAGCAGGAGCCTTCCTTCCTCCACCTCACGCTCTGTTCAGACCCTCACTGACTGCCATGATCTCCTCTCACATGGGAGACAGGAGACTCCTTCAGTGACTCCACTGATCCGAATTCTAATCTTATCTGGAAATACCCTCACAGGCACATCCAGAAGTAATATTTAATCTCAGCATCCCATGGCCCATCAAGCTGACACAGAAAATTTAACCGTCACAAGAACCAGGCAAAAAGCGCGTCCTGAGTCATGGGAACAGCTGACTGTGTGCATAACTAAGCTTCAGAGCACTGCACTAGGGCTCACTTCTCACGTGAAACAGAGAGCCACTATCCTGGCAGCGCAGTCTGATACCATCTCTCTGGTTTCCCTCCTGAGTGAAGAAACTCTCTGGGGAATCATTTATTTCTGAAAAAAACCTTTGGCCAAAACCAACATACCAAAGATTCTCCCGTGCGCCATCCTCCCTGATCCAGCCAGCTCCGATCTCAGACTTAAAATTTCTACTTCCCTTTTTTATGTTTTATGCCATTGTCCCTTTGAATCCAATTTCTCAGAAGATTAAAAATGAAATATAACCGAAGTGGAGTGAAAAGGAAGGAAACTACTGAAAACCACCATTTGCCTAACCATGAGGCTGAGAACAAGTAACACATGTGAACCCTAGAGCAGGAAACTCAGAGAACTCATTTCATTCTCCCCAGCCATACCTTTCAAGACTTCCGGATTTATCGCGTTATTTGGACACATACACTTGGCCACCTCCTGGCGTTGCTCAATATTTGCTTGAGTGACAGAGGCTGAGGCAACCTGAGGAGGAGCTCTCGTTACCCTCTGCCCATCACCCCAGCTGAGCCCTGGCCCTGGCCGACCAGCCGCAGAGAGATGGGACCATCACACCTGCTCCCCTCACTGGCGCTCCTCTGCTTTTCTCTTATTCCAAACCAAGTTTGCAAGACATGTGGTGAGTACTCTTTGGGATAGAGTTAGTCTCGTGTGATGGTGTCCTGAAGGCTAACGAAGAGGCCACCTGCAAGAGTTAATTAAGAGAAGATCCTAGGTCGGGCTGACATGCGTTTGGACTCTGTGAGGGATGCAAGGGGTAGCAGGAAATGAGGAGGACAACCCCGCAAGGCGTATTGATTGAAGAGGGGTCACAGATGCAGAGTCCACTGGCCTAACTTCTTGTGCTCTGATCTCTACCACATCATCACAGAGAAGTAACTATTTTGTTCACTGCCAATGATAGAAAAATCCATGATCCCAGAGAGACCTCATGGGGAGGATCATGGGAATGGATCCTTCTGTCGGGAAATGCGATCTGTTTTCCTACTGTTTTATCCATGGAATTTGGATTAAACTTGTGTAACTACCTAGAAAAAAAATGGTCATAATCTCTTTCAAACAGTGAGAACTGCCCTCTTGCCATTACTAAGGCATTTTAAGCTGCGTGTACCCCCCTCCGCCCAGCTTTTCCCCGTGAGGGACAGCTCAGAGCCCCGTCATCTCTGCTGCAGGTGTTGATTCCAGGCAGGGTGTCAGAATGACCCCATGTGTGCCCCTGCTTCTTTATCCTCACTCGTGCACGGAGGACGCTGAGGGGCGGTGCTGAAGCACTTGGTCCTTGAAGGCAGGCACAATTTCCCCCTGGAACTGACCTTTTACTCAATCCAAAGATGACTGAATGGTGCCACCGGTGGCTGTGTCTTCCTGGTGCTGTGTCGCCAACAAGAGGGGGTCGCAGAAGACTAGCTTGTGTTCAAGCAGCTAAAGCAGAGACCCTGCTGGCTCCGGGTTTTCTCCCTGTCATTTGCCCTGTTGCATCCTGAGAACAGGAGATCTCTGTGGAGGCTTTGAAATTCAACTCATTGCCCAAAATGATTAAATTTATCCTTAGTGGTCAAGGAAGCTGACTTGAATGGTTTACCAGGAACTACAAAGTCTGCTTCAATACCAGAAAACCTGCCAAACTCAGCGCTTCCATGAAATCTCAACAGTTGACAATTGCTGTACTGTATGTGCAAACTCCATGGCCTTCTTATAATCCCTCCATTCAGATTTTCCAGAGTAATGGAAAGTGGACACAGGAAATCACATTTCCTGGGTGCTCTAAGTAGGATGACTGAAATTTCAGTTAGGCTGAAAAGATAATATGGAAAGCATTTCACAGCTTATTAAGTGGTTTCTTATCCCTGTGAGGTAGCAGCTAATGTCCCCAATTTTAAATCAAGAAAGTTACATAACTTACACACAGTAATAAGTTAGGGAGCAAAGAATCCAGCCAAAGCTAACTGGGCCATAATTTTCTCTCTATCCCATTAACCCACGAGGTACTCTGGAAAAGGGTAGGATCTGAGGACATTTCTCCAAGTTATAGGCAAAGTACACTGAGAAATTGTCTTATACTTTAGGTGACACTAGCTGTACTTATTCTTCTCCAGTTCTTTGAAGGCTCTGGATTCTCTTACTTCCACTGAAGATGGGACTTCCCTCCATGATTGCCCCTGGGACTTAGAAATGCCAGAGGCTGAAGCTGGAGGGTTTTCCGTAGGGAGTGTACTGCTGAATAATAATCTTGATGCCTGGCCAGTTCTGCAATCATGCAGTGCGGTTCTGGTGCTCAATCACCAATGTAAAATCAAATGTTTACCTTTCATCCCTTGGTATTAAGCCAATCCAGGTAGAAGAAGAGATAGAAGAACTGAATAGAGAAAGTAGAAAGTTTCACAGACGGGAAGTTGAGGCATGCATTCTATCTAGTTCCACCTGAACTTCCGACTGCAGAGGTTTCTTTAGGGACAGCCTCTCTGTCCTCATAACCAAACTTAGTGAATGACACCAAATATCTCAGGCACGACGGATATTCTGCTGGTACCTGGTGAAATAAGTCTACACCAGCTGTTAGAATACTGAAACATCTGCTGGTTGTCAGAGGGAGAGGGGTGGGGTGCTCCAGACCCACCAACACAGCCCACGGCCACAGGACTGATCTAGATCCATGTCATATGTGTTACTATTTTCATGGAATCATTGTTCCTAGTCTTAATGTGTTCTGTGTGCTTCTCACACACTAATACCTTTTTGTAAATTAGCTGAGCCAGCAGCCCTGAGGGGACATGGGCCACAACTAAGAAAGCCATAGATGGAGAAAGAATAGGGATTTTAGATAGGTTTAGGCCCAGACTTGGCCTTTGAGCCTCAGGGTTTAATGAAGAGAAAGGGGAGATGAAGCTGCCCTGATCTACCTCACAGCAATATTGTGATGTTTCTTCCCTTCTCTGCCGCAGAGGTAAGTGAAGAAAACTACTTCCGTCTAAACCCTCTGTTGAATACAATGACCGATTCAAAATATACCACCGGAAGCCACTCTGCTGATATCCTGCTGTCCCTCAGACTTGTTGGGCTCCAGAACCAAACCCTAATTCAGCCACTCTCTCAACAAGTCAAAAAGGAAGTGAGGAGGAAAGGTGAGCGCCTATATCCTCTGGATGATGTAAGGAAAGATCTACCTACCTAAAATGGTTTTCTCCCCTAATCCTGAACCTGAGCATCTGATGTTCCTCTGCCACATCTATCCTAGCAGCACAAAACCTAAGGTGACAGAAAGATGCCTGAAAATACCAATCCCACGCCACTCACTCTAGGACTTGGCCTTACTTCTTGGCGTCCTAAAAACCATTTCCTTCATACAAAGGCAAGCAAAAGAAGATATGAACTCTCACCCACTTAATACTGCTGCATAAACTGGCTAAATTCAAAACAACACAGGGATGTGACCAGAACTAAGAAAGCTTTCAGGAGAGAAATAACCATGGAACAACAGAGATTGGGGGCTGGGTGCGAGTCCAGGGTCAACCTTAAGCCAGTGACTAATGATTATGTGCCAGTTTTCTAATTACTGTGCGCAGAAAATGAAGCCCCCATATCTCCTCATGGTATTAGCGCAAGAGTTATGAGAAGCCTGAGACTTTTGACATTCTATAAAGCAGAATAGAGAAATCAGCTATTACTATCTGGCAAAATGACACCAGAGAGAGAAAAAAATCCCAAGGTTTTATTTATCTATTTTTCTTCTCTTTTTCACTTTTATAAAGATCACATGTGTACAATTACATCCCATAATTTTATGGAAAAGACTAAGATCTAGCTTGCGGTGATACAGAATAGCCATAAAAATCTGTTTTTGGAAAAAGGAAGAAAATGAGAAAATATTACTACTCTATAGACTGGAAGATGAAAAAGAAATGATAGGCAGCACAAGTCACTAGGAAGGCAGAAGACAAAACATCACAAGTGTGCACCTTGTTTCACTTGAATGCTTTTCCTTTCAGGGTTAAATCTAAGCTTGGGACGGCTTGCTCTGGTTACCCTGGCTTTGGGAGCATGTCAAACACCCGATGAAAACTTCATACACGATAATCATCTGCTCGGCCATTTAGAAAACAAACTCCAGGCAGAAATTGGAAATATGAGTAAGAATCACATGTTCGGAGACCCTGGACACACTTTTCTTCTCCTCCATGGCTGTAGAACTGCAGAAAAGGTCCTTTCACTCCACTCTCCGCATCCCTCTCACTGCACAGCTCACCTTCCTGTCTTCTCTCTCTCAGCAGCATCTTGAATTTTCTTTTTAATTATGTCTATCTGAGCAATGGCCTACACCAAGCCACTTTACATACGCTGGCAGACGTACACACACATAAGACACAGTTCTTTAGACCTCCACGAGCTTGGCTTTTAGACAAATAATGAATTACACAAGAAACAGCTGAGCAAATAATGAGTTACATAAGGACTAGCTGTGTCATTAGTGCCAAAGAGTCCAGAGCTAAAGGCAACCCAAGTACAATGGACCGTGGAGTTACAGCTGGCCTGGCATACAATTAACTTGGGTTATTTAGGGTAATGGAAGATTCACCTGGCTCTTGTTATCTATAGAGTGTACCCAGGTAAACATCCAGATCTCAGCTGTTTTGACTTACAACCAACTTGAGTCACAACCAGCCCTCAGGAACTGATCAAGTTTGTAACTCAAGGGTCCATAGCACTGGGAAATATGGTTGCCGTGGAGGCTGGTAGCGGAACACTATTTTTATGTCAACTCCCAACTAACACTTATCCTGTTATTTATTAAGTTCCTCTGTCTGCATCTTCTCTGAAGTGCCTCCAGCCCTGCCTCCCCTCACAATATCAGCCTCATTGGTGAAAATGCAACAGGTTTGAAGGTAGAAAACCTGTGCCCTAATCCTAGCCCTGTAACCACCTGAATATCAGAAAGCATGGTTTTTATTAATGCACGTGTGCGTTATGTACTGATTACACTCATCATGGGGAGTTGGTACGTGTACATAACACATCTGCATCTGTTTTTCCTCCCCTTTCTCTCTCCTCCTTCCTGCCATATCTTGGTCTCCTTCCCTTCTGCGAAAGACCTATCTCCCTGTTGCCTATTATCTTTTATTTTGCTCTTTAATTTATTTGTATTTTAAGTTTCAAGTCAGTATGGTGATACCTCGGAAATCTAAAACTAGAAATTCCATTTGACCCAGCTATCCTGAAGACTTTAAAGTCTGAAAGACTTTACAGTGATTCGTGCACTCTAATGTTTATAGCTGCACAACTAATGATAGCTCAATCTTGGAAGCATCTTATATGCCCAACAACAGATGAGTGGATAAAGAAAATGTAATGGAGTACTACTCTGCCGTGAAGAAGAATAAGCTGGAAAGTCTTTTAATCTCTTCAGTGCTGTATCCTCTCAGTTCTAAAATGAAAAGGGTTGAATTGAGCTTGGAATCCCTAAAAAGCCTTTCAGTTTCTCAAGTTTGCTGATCCTCTGAACCAAATATTCTTCTGTCACTTCCCTCTCTTTAAATATAGCAAAATGGGAATAGAGTAAGCAGGAGTCAGTTGGAAAGTGTGTTACCCCAGCACCACATCGTGAGTAAACTGTCTCTTCTCTCTCTCTCAGAAGCACATGATGGCAGTCCTCTGACTAACTACTTCCAGCTCAGCCTGGGCATCCTGGCCTTGTGCCTGTTCCATGGGCAATACTCCACCACCCAAGTTGCTGAACTCTTTGCTCCTGAAAATAAAAACTATTATTTTCATGGGAACTTTTCAGTAGGTGAGTCATTACCTGATTCCCCTGAGACAGCGGACCTGGTCAACAGTTTTTATCTCCTTTGCTTGTTCAGATTTTCATTTTCAGTCCTTTTCTGTCACTAAGTTTATTGGCACAACTTAGATATGCATAATAATCACGTTCATCTATATCGTTCGCACCTGTACGTGATAGATCTTGATGCGTATTTTTCCCACTCCCCTTCCCTGCCTTCTACCCTCTTCCCTTCTCATTTACCAGAGCTTTGTTTTCCTTTTATCTTTCTTTTCTCACTTTTAACCTTCCTTTCTTTCCCTTTCCCCCTTTTCTTGTGCCCCTTCCCATTTGGACCTTTTCTTCCAACTTCAAAATATCTATTATATATTTGGGTCCTTATTTACATTTTCCGATTTTCACACCAGAGAAACAATGTGACATTTACACATCTGCCCAGTTTATTTCACTGGCGAGCTTGGTCTATAGGTGCATCCAGTTAGCTATAAATGTCTGAGTAGAACATGTAGGCGCAACTCCAAGCATACTCTGCCACCATATCTTTGCCGACGGGGCCAAACTCCTTGTCTGGGAGAAAGACGGCCTCTTTAATAAGTGGTGCTGGAAAAACTGGCTTCCCACATGCCCAAGATTAAAACTAGACCTGTGTCTCTCACTGTGCACTAAATTAAAATCAAAACGGATCACAGATCTAAATATTAAAACAGAAACACCAACTCTGCTGGAAGAGAGAAGAGTACACAATGCTTGAGGACATAGACGTAAGCAAAGGCTTCATTAACAAAGTCAGTCACATGGGTAAGATTACAAAGTCCATTCTCCCCAAGAAGTTCAAAGCCAATCACCGTTCCACATTTCAGAAAGGAGAATTGAGGTTCCTCATACTCCTTTTCCAGTGTGAGAGGAGAGGTGTCGTGTTAAAGGTCAAAGAAACAACCAGATATGAAGCCAGACAAAGAACACTTCTCCTCCCTTTTCCCTGCCTGACTCTTGCCTCATCCTTTCCCTTAACTGTGATTATGAAGGGCATTCTGGTAATTGCCATTTTCCACTCAGTACAATGGACTGTTTAGTCTGCTGTCCTGAGCTCTTTCCGTTCCTTTGCCGATACAGCTGAAAGATCAGAAAGATGGAAAAGATGAGAGCATCCAAGATCCACATTCACATACATGTACTCACAAATTTATATGTTTTGTGGCCATAATATGAACTCACCATAGGGAAAGAATCATGAAGTGTTTGAGGGTTGGTGCTATGGGAATGACTACTGTATCTTGAAGTCCTTCTCTCCCCTCATCAGTTAGCATTGACCAACCATCCCAAGTTTCTAGTTCTGTCACTCTGTTGGCATCAAAAGTCCCACATCCCAGGAACACCATCTGCCCGGGACAGAGCGGGTTGGTTGATCGCCAGATTTTTATTTCCTGACAGATACTGGGGCAATGGCTGTTTTGGCTCTGATGTGTGTGAAGAGAGGTCTAATAAATGGACAGACAAAGACAGATAAAAAGGACTTAAGGAGCATTGATGAACATATACAATCACTGGTGGAAAAGCTTTTGTCTGAGAAAAAAGAAGGTGGTCTCATTGGAAACACGTTTAGTACTGGAATAGCTGTGCAGGTGAGTCAGAGGGTGGAGTGGGAGGAGGAGAAGCGAGCCCCGGAGGAGAGCAGCACCTTGATGCTCTTTGAGCTCCCTAAGATCCCGCCCACTCAGGGTCTCTGCACCAACCTTCACGACGCGATTCCCCTCCCCATCCGAAACGCACTCTTCGGTTCATCTGTTCCTCCCATCTTTACCTCTCCATAGCCAAATATTCTGTGAAGCTTCTCCTGTGAAGTCTGAAATCCACCTATCTTGTTCTACCACATGCAGTTTTCCACTTGCCACGTACCAGACTTTCGAGCATGCGTCCTCCCTTCCAAACTAGATTAGTGCTGTAGAGGGGCAAGCAGCAGTGGTGGTACAGAAGCTAGTGTTTGTGGGGCGCTGTTAACGCGCTAAAGCACACACGGTACAATAAGGAAAGCGTTATTCCTTCCATGTCCTAGAAGGGGAGCCTCCGTGACAGGGGGTCGGTAACTTGCGAATTTTACACAGCCACAAATGTTGCTGATGGGGACGGAACCTTGACATTTCCCACAGCGCGCACTCAACGCCTGCCTCTTCTGTGCACATCCCTGGGGGTCCGGCACTTTAATTCTGCACTCGTCTGCTGATTCATTCAGTTCCAAGGGGTGGATGCAGAGGAGAGCTAGGAAACTTTACTTCAAAAAAGTCACTGGCAAAAAGTTAGTATGAAGAGTTCTTTGCCAGCTGACTTTGGGTGAGAGGGTTTTCACAGGAGAAAGGACAGCAAGGACAAAGACTGAAAGGCACAACATAGCACTGAGTGTGACGGCCAAGGTGTTCAGCAGAGCCAGCACAGGTCCTGGGGAAACGTTCCAGGGTGAGGACCGGCAATGCAGGCGGGGCCCGAGGTCGTTTGTGTGCCGCATTTGAACTTCATGTAAACCCAGTGCCTTCTCATCTGGCTGCACAATTGGGTCATCTGATGGGGGTCTCAGAAAGCACTGACACCAGAGCCCCCCGCCAACCGGGAGACACTGAAACGGGTGAGGCGTGACTCCCGGCTCAGCGGAAGCCCTTCAGGTGGTGCAGCGGCCCGCTGCTGGAAGATGGCTCTGAAGAGCTTTTCCCCTCCTGTAAGAGTGCTTATTGATACTTAGACAGGCCGAAGAATCTTCAAGAAAAAGTGAAAGGGAGCAGTGCCTTTTCCTTGGGAAATACGGGGCGACATGTTCAAGCCCAGCCCACTTTAGCTCTTGTCCTGTTACTCCAACACCCACCCCCTTCCCATCTCACAATTCTGCCCCTTTAATTGAGTGTACGTTCTGCTGCGTGGATAGCTTCTGTTCACCCAATGACCTGACCCTCTGCTGTCGGCCAGATGCTGTCGGATGCCTCACCCCAAGCCCCAGGCATTTGCCATGATGGCCCGTTCTGTCCTCAGCCTCTTCTTCCACGACTGCTTCAAATGTTCCCTGGCCACCAGGCCTCCTACTCCAGGAAGGGTCCCCAGGGAGTCTGTAAAACTGCAGACACCCTCATCACCTCCAGGCCGTCTCTGTGGTTCCTACTCTTGGCCCTGGCTTCTCCTCCGGCTTCTGGTGGGGGCCCGCACACACTTGGGATGGTATCGAGGTGTGCCTCTTGCTAGGACCCCTGTGTAGCGAGGGCCATGGGCTGCAGGCTGTGCACCCCAGTTCCTGTGTCTGCACAGGCTTCTGGTTGGGGTCTCCACGCACTTACCGTCGGTACGGCGCGAGCCTCTGGCTGCGGCTTGTGCACCCGTGTAGTTCTTTTCCAGGTGGGCCCTTGGCTGTGGCCAGGGCTACGGCGGGACTGTGGATAAAGCTTGCATACCTGTGCAGCTCTTTTGTAGGTGGGCCTGTGGCTCTCTGGAGTCAGGGCAGGGCCTTGGCTGGGAACCGCCTGCAGTTGTGCCAGCCTGGTCCCCACAGCTGCTCCCCGGGATCTGTGCGCATTTACCTATGGTATGGTGGGACAAATGGAGTACTACTGAGCCATGAACAATGGGAAACTAGAGACATTTGTTGCTAAGTGGATGCACATGGAGGCCACACTCTTAAGTGAAATAAATAGGACACACTTGTGTAAATACCAAAGCGCTTCTCTCGTGTGAGAAACTGAACATGTAAATGAGGACTAAAAGGTGTAATAGATATAGTGAAATGGGAAGAAAAGGGGCAAAGGGAAAGTGAGAGGGGTAGGGGGAAAGGAAGAGGGAACAGGAATTAATATGAGAAGAAGAAAAATGGAAACAAAGTCTTTGTAGATAGGGAGGGGTGGAGGCAATGAAGGGAGGGCAGGGGAGTGGGGAAGGAATGAGAGCCAAGACGGAGTATTAAGGTGCAGATTTCCAATGATGATTCTCATTATGCTGTATACCTTAATAAAATTAATTAAGCTAAAGAAAAAGAGAGGCCGTGCCACGAGATGCTTTTTTTGAAGCATTCATCCTAGGGCTCCTTTCAAACTGTACTGAGTGCATCCTGTGTGACAGGTACTTTGTCAGTATTCAGAGAGAGCAGCGAATATGGCCAAGACCACCGGTTTTCTCAGGGACCACTGTGCCTTGTGCTATCAAGCAGCTCCCTCCCTCCCCGCCCAAACTCGTTTCCAAGCTTCTTGAAAACAGCAACGATACCGTAGTTAAGGCAGGTGCCTCCTACGTACTTGATGCTCTGTACAGACAGCAAGTTACACAAGCCCTGCCCCTTATTGGAGAGGTCTCTCGTTCCCTCTCTTCTCTCTCCTCAGGCCCTCTTCATCGCACCGCACTATTACAAAGAAAGGGACTGGAACTGCCGGCAGACTCTGGACACGATACTCAGGGAAATTTCTCAGGGAGCCTTCACTACTCCAATTGCGGCTGCCCAGATCTTACCTACCCTAGTGGGAAAGACCTACTTGGATGTCAGCAGAGGCTCTTCTTGTGCGAGTGGCTTAGGTATAAGAACTAAAGAGTGAGCTGTTTTGCCTTTCACCGTAACTTAACCCAAAGCGTCCATGACATAGGTATCCTGAGGGACACAAAGTTCGGATAAGCGAGCTTAACAGTTCTCTAAACTCAGCTCCCCACACCTTCAGGGATTACAACCCCCTGAGGATTTGTTGCTGGAGTGGTAGTCATGAGTTTTGGGTCAAATATCGATAAACAAGGTGAACTTGATTAAATGGTGTCTCTCTCCAAAGGGATGCCTTCTGTTGGGCGTACAAAGAGCTGAGCCTCATCCCAATCTAAACAAAGTACAGAAGTTGGGTATTGTGTTTCTTCCCGCTCAGTGATCCCTCTGGGAAGTAAGACATCTGTGCAGAGGGAAAGTGGCAGGAGTAGAAAAAAACAAGGAATGCATCAGTTATTCAAACAAATGATTTTGCCACATGGTAGTTCACTGTTAGTTCCTAATTCAGCCGCTTACAAACTGGGGAGCTTGGACAAAATGTTTCACCTCCAAGCTTAGGTTTTCTAATGTTAAAAAATGAGAACCAATAACAGCACCTAACTCTTGAGTTTTGTAAGGGTTGAATGAAATAATTCATGTAGGCTTAGGAGTACAATAAATTTTAAGAAAATAAAAGGGGGAAACAAACACTACTGGATTCTGCAGCTAAAAAAGAAAAAAAAAATCAAGACCTCCCTTGAGAAGTGGACACTGGGAAGACTGAATTGCCTAAAAAGCTGGGAGCAGGGGCAAACGGCAGTACTCACAAGCTGGTGACGTCTCTGGTTTTAGTTTCCACATTAGTCATGTGAGAGCTCTGCCCCTGGATTGAAGATATTTGCTTTTCTAACAAATCCATCCTCTTTAAAGGGAAGGGGTCCTTTGGTGCTGGGTGAGTGTGCAAACTCTGACAGTTTTTAATACTCTATTTATGTCTGCCCTTCTGTCTCACCAGGTAACTTTAACATCTCCGGTCATGAGCCTGAGCCCACCACACCTCCTAACTCACCCTCAAATATCACTGTCCATTTCTCTGTGAAAATCAGGGAAACATATTCCACCACTGTCACTGTGCCCAAGGGTTCCGTCTTCCTAGCTGTGATGGAGGAAGCTCAGAAGAAGAACGAGACTGTCTTTGGGTATGTCTGAACACTACCTAGGGTTACGGCATTTACTACAATGTCAGAAGACTTAGCAAGAATGCATCTGCACCCAAATGCAAAGTACACAGACAATACTGCGGGTACCTTTGCTCTTCATCCATATCCACAGCTGAGGTTAAAGGAGGAAAATAACTAAGTGGGAAAAAGACATCGACTGTGCCAATTTTTAATAAACAACACATGAAATGTCAAATTATTCTTTCCTAAGAGAAAATCCACTGACCTACAGTGCCTCTGAGAGACAAGGTTGACATTTTCTTCTACTGCTTCTGTATCTTAAGCAGTTAGTACCCTGGGGCAGAAGGTTGAAGCTATTAACTACAAAGTGTCTATTTTAATAATTGTGGGTGTACCTTTAGCCAGGAATCACCTGGACTTCTTTTTTTTTTTTTTTTTTTTTTTTTTTTTTTTTTTTT